TATATATATATTAATGCATAAGTGGTTAGGACTCTCAAGTTTGACTCCAATTTAATAATTGCTAGCTGCACCAATATGTAATATTACCATAGAGAGCTAAATATGTTCCAAATCATGTCAATCAATACATTTATTGGACTAAACTTATATCTACATGATATAGGTCCTAATGCTTTTGCATTAGTCGCTTGATAGTGCTTCCAACAATGACAAGACAATAATTAATTTACATGGACAAAACAACAGCAAGGAAAATATAAAGTACAGTAATCTTATGTTCATACCATTTATGAATATACCTTGGCATCTTAAGAACTGATGTGTGTATAGTTGCAATGACGCATAAAACAATGTAACATAATTATTCTGCTTGGCAATATTTGCTATATATTAATGACTTTATTAAGAAGGAAGGAAGGTTTTAAAAGGAAGATGTGGTCAAAATTTAAAATGTAGAATATTGAATCAAAAAAACTGAATAAAACAAATGAATAAAAAAAAATTAAACCCACAGAAAGAATACTGATAGATTAAATTCACTGCTAAAAAATTGTTCACAAATCATTTTCTCATCTGCATCAATCTATGTTCTGAAAAGTCAATATCTGTTAATTTAATTAATTTTAATTTTTATTTATTAGGTACAACACACTCAAAATGTAACAAAAGTTAGAAACTTCTTGAGTTTACATATCAAAAAATGCCTACCATACAAAAAACTGACACAAAATACTATACAATAAGAAATGTTAATAGGCCTACTGTAAAGTTAAGGTAACTAATTAAACAACAGTATTTCCAATTATATAAAAATATATATTATATTTTATTATTATCAAATATATATTATATAGATAATTGAAAAAAAATTACAGAAAATTGATTATTGATATATATTATACAAACATTATACAAAATAAACAATTCTTTCAAATTAATTTTTAAAAATTCAATTAATTTTCTTTGCGAATTTTCAGAAAATTACAAAAAACAGAATTACAAAATCAATTAATAAGGCCTAAAAATAGAAAATGCAAATGAAAAGTGAGTGGATTAAACAAAAAGCAATAAAGCACAATGATACAAATTTATTTAATAATTTTATAATATATTAAGAAGCACTGAGGTAGAAAAATATTTGGTCGTACAGCGTGGTACACTGTACTTGTTTGAGTTACGTAAAAAACATTTCTGGTTTGGGGTTTTCCGGAATACATTGTTGTATACAAGAACAATATGAACATTAAACATGAAGGCATTTCTGTCAATTAGTCATTCGTTTATTTATTTATTTGTTTATTTATTTAATCTTTTATTCATTTATATAATGTGGTTGGCGCATCGGTTGTAGGTTGGACTCTCAACTTTGAGGGGGGGGGGGTTCTAAACTCTGTGCAAGTCGCACAGTTGTCTCTCTCCACCCAAGAGTATAAGTTGGTACTTGGTAGCTTCAAACACAACCATGCGCTCATTACAGCTGCAACATTATGGGGCATGAGTGTTGTTCCATGTGCATCTACAATATGCGCTATATAAGTCGACAATTATTATTATTATTATTATTATTATTATTCTTATTATTATTATTATTATTATTATTATTATTATTATTATTATTATTATTATTATTATTATTATTATTATTATTATTAATTTATTCATTTGATTATTAAGAAGACACAACAATAATTGTTACTTAACCAATATCCTGAGGCGCGTGGAACGGAGAGAGTAGAGAAAACAGTAGAACTTATACATACTGTTTGTGGTGCTGAACTAATAATAATAATTCAAATAATAAAACATTAAATAGTTAAACCGTTATTAAATTTTTAATTATTGGTCATGTTGTAACTTCAGCCGTTGTCTTTCAAACCATTTAAATTATCGTAGCAAAAAGTATAAAAACTAACTTGTGTTTTTAATGAAAGTTAATCACTTGTAAATTATAAATGCTTGAAAATGTGTAGTTCAATGGTTTGATTGAATGTGTGTGGAATGGGAATTGAATATATGGCGTAGACCTATGTTTAAGAAAAAAATACAAAGTATAGGCCTATGTAGGCCTAAAAAAAAACAAAATGAATTGTAAAGGTAAAGGTTATTTATTTATATGCCCCTAAGTACATGAAATAAAGACAAAAGAATAAAATTTAACTAGATCTTTAACATAAACAAATTAATTATATTAAAACAGAAAAATGAAAAAATCATTTCTAAATAAATACAACAAATTCAAATGTTTTGTGAATTTTTTTTTCAATAAATGTGTTTAACATTTGTCATACAACCTGGAAAAACCTCAAAAATCAATTAAAACGTTTAAAAGAATGAAATAATTTATAAAATATTATTCTTGCACACAAGATAATTATATATTGGATCCAAATGAAATTATTTCAAAGTTTCTCAGAATGTATGTGCACAAAACAAAGACAAGAAACAAGGAAGGAGACGTTTTGAAAGCTAAATACTTAATTTCTGTATTTTAAAGGATGATTGACAACCTAAATAGTTGCCAGCACGAAATTTCATTTGATAAATTGTAAATAAAGACCATAATTTCGTAGTAAAAGAGATTAATAATAAGTTTAATTGATAATTGTTCTGAGTTTTATGAGAAACATCTACCAGGACCTGGTACACATTGTACAAGAACTTCTACTTAACTAATTTAAAAATTTATTATCTTCTCACGAAATTAAAAAAAAACTTTTAATTATTATAAACTATAGAGGGCAGCAAACAGACAAGAATTGCTTTACAATACAATAAATGGTCAAAGTCTAAAATGCACAAATAGTTGCCGATCTTCTTCCTTCCTCCTGTTTTGTTCCCATAATAGAATATTTCCTTAAACAGCTGTCAATCAGCTAGGTGCATGTGATCAAATTGACACATGTTCTCATCAAATTATGTTCTCTAGTTTGTGCTTTTTTTTTTCCCTCAAGGATAAACATTTGTGGGGTAGGGAGTTTCCAGGAGGCCAGCGTAGTCCAGAGATGAAGCTCCAGTTGTGATCCAGGGATTTTTTGGAACATAATAAAATTAAAAATAAGGGGGAAAATTGGTCCAAGTACATTTTTAAAAGCATATCTGATGGGACTTAAGCGTGGTTTCCATACAATCGCTACACGCTACCGCCGACAGCGTTTGGTGATGCTAATTGGTCAGTCGAATTGGGGAGGCTTCCCTGATTGCGATAGTGACTGCTATGCTACAACGATAAAACTGAAAACACTGTACCGACACTTTAACGGATTTTAAGGAAAACGGGCTTTCAGCTGTCAGCTACTGCTGGTGTCCCCTACTGTCTTTAGACTAGTGAACAGACACCTTAACAACCAGCTTCATTTCGCTACATGTAGTTTCCATCATCATAAAGACCGCATATAATTTTGAATAAACTATCTTCAAAACAATAGTTTGGAGAATAGTAATACAAAAAATGAAATGATTAGATGGCAATAATTTTGTGAAATATTAATGAACAATTTACGTTACGAGAATTTAATAATAATGAAAAAATAATATATATGATGCAGATTAAGAGAACAATCTTAAATTATTTAAATAGTAGCCTTGCCTTGGGTAGCCATTATGCTTTGTGGATTCGATTGTGCAGTACAGTATAGGGAAACACAAATCATTTCTAATGGCTATGGCAAGAGAAAATAAATACTATAATTAATTTTAGCTAATTATTTATTTGTTAGATCACTTAATATTCACTTCACACTTAAAAATTATGGTTACCATTTACACATAGGGTTTTAATGACAGAAATGGTTTTTCTAATTGTGTACAAAGAATGTTACATTTTATACAGTACAGTATTTGGCTTGAGTAGCTGATATAATGGTGGTGGTGCTGATAATCGCATATGGCAATATCAGCGCAAAAAACATCAACATCAAATTACATTATTACTTCCTCCAACCTCAGTCAGCTATTTAAAAAATTGCCACTCACAGTTCCTGGTAAGATTATCCAAATTTTGCTTATTAAACAAGAAATTATTGTATATACAACAATGTTGATGAGTATTGTTGGCAAACTGACTCCACAATTTGCAAGACGAATATTACCCACAATGTAAACAATATGAAGTTAAATGTTAATAGCACAGTTAGTGGAGTTCTGTGTAAAATATAATACTGTACACGGTAATTGCATCAGACCTGTGGATACTAGTTCAGGATATTTCAGAATAAATTGTCATTTTTATCCTTGCTAATCATTAAAATTTCCACAAGTGTTTCTGTTTGAGCGAACAAGTTTTACTGTCATAGCGCCACAGAACATTCCATTCTCCTGTGGATATTGGCACTATATAAATCCTTGATTGATTTAACTTATTTTTATTTGTAATATGATGTTCAAACACTATTGTCTTGCAAAGTAACACAAATGGTTCTATGGAATTGGACAGAACCTTGAATACCCCTGGTGATCTCCGAGAACCTGTGGCAGCCACAGCGCAACGCTGCACCTGGTACTGAATCGACCTTTCCACTACGCCACGCCCATTGGATATTGTTGCTAGGGTCCCACAAAATGGCATTGTAAAAACATTTGTGGGACTCCGACAACAAGTGTGTACGTGGGACATGTGCGTATTCCTGGCCTTGTTTTGATACGCCATTTGCTTGATTGTCACTCTAGAATGGTCAATTGGGTCCCGGCGGACAATCCAGCTACTCTTTTTCAAAGTATTGTGTTGCATAACATGCATGAGGTATGGTATACAAGACAGACGACCCAAAAAGATAGTGCACAAAAACTATAATTACAGTAGGGCCTACAACCTTTATTTTAAATGTGAGCAGCATCATGGAATAGAAAGAGATACACAAAGGTCACCATAGTTCAGCCAATACCATGGTTACCTCCAACCAGTTGCATTTTGAAGAATAAACTAAATGTATTAGTTCACGAAAAAAACTTTCTTCAACTTATAAAAGCCATGAATCCTGAAAATACTGAGAATTATTTAGTGTGTAATGCAATTAACTGCATAATTGAAGATGAAAGTGAAATTTTCTTCACTAGTATCAATGTTAATCTTTTGAGTAAAGTAGTTTTCAAGATTATTAAAAGCAATCAGTGAGTTTAATTTCAGAGTATTAACACAGAAAGTGAAATGGCTACTCAATTTATGATTTACTTAGATGAATTGACAAATGTAAACCAAATGTCTGAACTAAATTAAATTTTACATGTCAAGAAGGTTTATTAAATTAATATTTTCATGCATCATCATTAAACATTATTGAATTTAATCAAAGTGATAAACTTCACTTCATATATTGCTGGATATAATATACTTCCATTTACAATTTTGTTTTGTCTGGAATGTCAAGGGAAGGGCTGGTTTACAGCAATGTTTCCTTATTCACAGTATATAGAGGGCGCTATATAATTTCAATCTTTGAGATGCATTATTCTTTACCTGCAAAATATATACTGTACTGTTCAATAAAAACATTCAATACCGGCTTACTTGTATAGTTATTAACTTTCAAATTAATGCAATATTTTACTTTTCAATTGACAAAAACATAAATAATACTTTCTCTATTCTTTGCACAACCCCAAAATTATCTTGTAATCAATTCAAGGATTTTTGTCGTCTGCAAGTCAGTGAAAATGGAAGTTCTGATATCTGTGTCTGATAGGAAGTTGAAAAGTTATTTGATTCTTTTAAATAACGAATTCAACATTTTGATTGAATGCTTCAAGTTTTATAAGGTGTTATTACAGACAGTATATCTTACATGCATCATGGATTAGTGTTTGGGCAAGCAGTGGCTCCAGAATTTGCTGACAAGGGGTCCGACATGGCCAACCGAGGGGTCTGAAACAAGGGGCCGACTAGAGCCTCAGTTAAGTCCCGCAATAATAATCACTGGTAGGGTTCACAGGGCAAGTTTTTATGGCTTCATTTGTCATTATGGATTAGCTTTCAAAATAACTTAATTTGGATAGGTAAATTATTTTTTTTTACTTTTGATCCGATGACCTCGTCATGACATTGGACAAAAGGGGGTTGTAGGATTGTCCGACGAAGGGCAAAATTCTGGTTTGGACAATATAGTTTCTCTGTAATAAAGTATACAATACAGCCACATTCTTATGCCAATAACTCACTTTAAGTATTAGCGACAGTATGCTGGTTTAGAATGGCAAGCCTCATATAAATACACAAGGAATATCTTGACAACACTGCAGCGACAGTGTAGCGATTTTAAGGAAACCAGGTTTTACTAAAAAAAACTACAGGTTTGAAATACATGGTGTCGATGCCAAGTTGCAATGTTATTGAATACTCACAGATTTGAGCTTGTCTTTCGTATATTTATGATCCAATGCAGGGGCAGATCCAGATGTCCAAAAGGGGGGCCAAAAGTTGGGCTGACGCCCCCTCGAAATTGTTGTTTTTCTTTCTTTTTTTCACCTCCCAAAAAAGGGGGGGGGGCCTTAAATCTGCCTGTGCAATGGGTAAGATTTAATATTATTAAGGTAAAATTCCTAGGTCAGGGAATCAACATCATAAACATTGACATTTAAAGGTCAAAGGAGAATCTGACATAACTTTAGATGAGGACAGAATTGGTTCATGAGCAAAATAAAATAACTAAAGACCATTATTGCAGTCCACAGATAAAATAAAGACCAAAAACAATTTAAAATAGAGTTTTTTTTAGTTTATTAAGTCTCAGATAATTATATAAGGTACATTTTAATAAGCTTACATTGTAAATTATTATTAGGGCAAAAAATAGTAAAAACAAAAATGATATTGAAAGTCTTCATGCAAAATAGTTGACACTTCTCACGAAATGATCAATTTTATTATTTGAGAATGAAAGTTATTACAATCTCAATCAGTATAAAAAGTATTCAGAATATCTAAGTGAGGCTATTAGCGGTCCACTTGATAGGTAAGTCATGAATGCATGATACCATATATAACACTAATTGGTCCAATTATTTTAAAGGGATAAAGTTAGTTGCGAAGATATGGAAGTTCAATGACATGCCCATAGACAAAGGAAATTGTTTCATTTGAAACACATATACAGTGAAACCTAAATTTTACACACACAATGGAACCAAAAAGTGTACATAAATTGCAATATTCATAACTCAATACTGTAATAAATATAGTAAAAATGAGCTTTAAGAAATGTTTTTTTAAGTAGAGGTGAAGAGTAAAATTTCCACTTAAAAAAACTGAATTGATTAAATTCAACCCTTTGTCAGAATACTCTAATAATTATTTCAAATTTAAAGGTCCTGGGAATAAATTATATAAAATTCTCCCTTTAGAACAAATTTAAATTAATATCAACGATGAACTTACAGTCAACGCCACTGATACATACCTCAGTCACTTTAATGATGCTTTATAAATTTCCATAAAATAATAATTGAAGAGATTTGCATGTTATACAAATTGCGAATAATCCCCCGATTTGTAAAGCTACCCTGAATAAGATGTATGCATTCTACTGTAACAGTATCACTAACGATATTAATTTTTCACAAAAACTAGGAGAACATTGAATACTGACATTGTCATAAATTAACGAGTGTTGTCAGCGACAAGACTGGTAAATCGAGGATTCCTCAAAAGTTTGTAAAATTCATATTCCACTGTACTAAAAAGGATTGTATGCACACAAATTAAAATATATCGGATTTAAATTGAGAATTCACAGTAAAATTTTGTTTTATTTGGTTTTAAAAAGTATCTAGCCCTCTTTCCACCAGCCTGAAAAACGGCCACCACCACCGCGGAATCCTCTACCACCACCTCCTCGACTACCACGTCCCCTACCTCCTCCGCGACCCCCTCCACCGCCTCTGCTATATCCATTTTGTCTATAACCATATCCATTTCCACCCGAGTATCGGTTGTTACCATAGCCACCACGTGATTGGTAGGGATCACGCTCCTTTAGTGGCGGGAGTTCTGTAGCAATTTTCAATGTAATGTAATTATCATCTTGCCAGTTTTCCTATATGTATAGACAAGAACAAAGTTAATTCATATCATTTTTTTTGTTTTAAAGAACAGAGGACCATTAAGATATAAACTGTGGATACTTAATATAATATAATATAACCTAATATAATAAAAATAATTGTAAAGAGGTGGTTCCATTGAATAAACACAACTCTTGAATAAGTGTAGCAGAAACATGATTTTTTTTTTTTTACTGAGCGTCAGATATACTCTATTTTGCATGCAATCGAGTGTACATTTGTATTTAATTTCTTATGCATTAAATAATAATAATAATAGTAATTAAATAATAATATTGTTGCGACAAGTACAGTAAAATATGCCCTTGAGCAAATCCATTTTAGCACTACTAAATTTTGTAAGAAACACCATTCTATAATAAGTGCAAAAAGCCTTCAAAAGTGTCAGAAGTGTTGCAGCGCATATTGAAACATTGATGGTATATATAAAATCACAACACACCTTGATAAGCTTATTGAACTTGGAGGGAACATCAAAGACAGCATCATGTTGGTCGATACAAATGTTAACGCCTTTGACAGCTTCACGCACTTCGTATGGTAACTGACTTCCAAGCGTTTGATACACGTAGGAGGCGGTTCGCATTTCAGTATTTACATGCAGTTGATATGTCGTGAAACCCTACAAATATGAAAAGTTTCTATTTAGATACAGAGCAATGAACAACGTTCTACAAAAAAATATACGAATAATAGAAAACTTTTGATTTGCATGACAACATAACTGTAAAACGGAGATTCGTGCCTAACCACGTCCTAGAATCAGGGTGATGGGAGAGGTTACTTCTTAGTGACGTCTTTACGTTCTAGGTTCTACCGTCGTGGTTCATCAAAAGCTCCCTATTAAGCATAAACAGACCTAAACATGTTGTGTTGTGGTTTGGGTGAACCAAGATGGTATTTTTAGACTTAGAGGGGTGGGGTTGGGTTGGATTGGGTGTAAGTGTAAGTTGTTTTTAATATGAAAACACATCTGACTTGTGAAAAGACTAAACACACATTCCCACTACCTAATAAATAGCCCATCATGTAGTTCATGCAAAGTGCTTTTATCAACAGTAATCTTTAAGGAATGTCTTCTACTAACTTCCTCAGATTTTAAGAAACGCAAGTTCATAGGCTGTGTAGCATACATCCTGATGAAGAAAATGAAAGTGAAAACACAAGAATATAAGAGGCTTATAAATATTTATGAGAGACTATGTAGTATCAACAACATTACAGGTACATTGAAGTGGGTACTTAAATAATGAAAATAAAAATAATAATAATAGCACCAACATTCATAGCTAGACCGTTGCGAGGATTGAGAATTTTAGGCAGACAAATGCCAATCACACAATGCTCCTATCATTTAAACTTATAGGAATACATGCTTCATGTGTGTGTATATAAACCACCCACACCTAAATTTTTGAGCAAAATAAAAAAAGTAGGGTCGTAGATTTGGCCTACTGTACACAAAACTTGGGAGATAGTAGTAACTGCATTTAAAAATTATATGCATGCTGCATAAAACCTAGCATAACTTATTATCAACTTTAATGTTGTCATCACTTAAAATAGGTGTTTGAGTGTTAAATGTCAAGTCGAGGAATTGGCAGGCAGTCGTGAAAATGTGTTGGAATAACTTTCTCCTATGGGTCTAGGGTATGCTCCTCTGAGAAATGCGTTTTCCAAAATGCCAGGAAATGTTTTCTCCGTCACTTTGTGTAGGTTTTTTAAAACCAAAAATATATTGCAAATTTGCATCTTTTTCTGGATACAAAGTAAAATAGGCCATATTTGAGATTATAAAATACAAACTGTCATGCCTGTGCCCATGCTGTATGTTAATTGGTGTGCTGTATACTATAATTCTAACTGAATAGGCAGAGGTTTATTATCTCCAGTAGCCTAAAAGTTGTTTTGTGTTAATATTTTGCTTCAACCATGAATATATGACAAGCCTACACGGTAACAAAATTAGTAAAAATCCCAAGAGATTCTGCTACAATTTACGTCAATGTAGTCTAGTACACAAAAATACGACAAAAATCTAGTACGTCAAAAATGACGTTATGTCATTTTTAGTCTACACATCTCTATCTTTTAGGCCCCCGCTTCCCAAACTCTGGGACCCAAGTTTTGATTTCCCACACTAGCCGTGACCCATCTAATAATTTGATATGTACATTAAAATTATTAAAATCCCCGAAATATGACTAAAGAATAATGAATACTCGACATCAATATAACATTGATTTTTGCCTTCTTTTTATCAACAACAGACCCAAGAATTCGTAATAAAGGGGCCCGCCTATTTGGATCAGCCCTTGAATATCGCCCCTTTACACCAAAGTAGCAAAATGATACTTTTAATATTTGACTAGCCCAAAATCTTGAAAATATAGGATCGGTTTTTTTTGCAGAATATTTTTGATCTTCAAATAATATAGGCCTATTTGATAAAGTTAACCCAACCAAAATCAACCAACCAAAATCAACCAACCAAAATACACGCTTTTAGTTGCATTATTATTTGCATTTTCATAGGTTACACCCATTTCACATTTTTTTTTGTGGGAAAAAATGATATTCTTATAGGTCACATCATGCGACATTTACACAGTTTTGTTGTAGTAAGACATAAGATATTCATTGTGGGCATATGATAAAATATTGTTTAATGAGAATTCACCTAAAATACTGTTTTCAGGCCATCAGATCAGAGTTAAGACTTTACATTAACCACAAAATTAGCAGCACATGAATTGACAATTTGTTTTTAAAAGTTAGGTGACCCACTTTTGGGTAGCAACCCATAGTTTGCGAAGCGTGCTTTTAGGCAATCTAAAGTTTTTAAAATATATATGATCACTAAAGTTTGTTTAATTTAATTAAAAATCATTTTTTTCACACAATATTTTGTAGGTGTGTCATGGATTTCTTTAATTTAAGATGGCCTAAGTACATAAACATAGTGACTGATATTTAATACTGTTGCTAAATTTCCAAAAAATGACAGAGTAAAAGTTTGTGGTTGTGGGGACAAGGTGTATTTCTGGCCCTATTCCAATTGGTCAGTTCAGGTTGATTGACATTCCAGAAAGATCTATTGTCAATTTGTGTGGAAAGCAATAAAGCCACCATGAGTACATCACTTACCTCTTCAGAGTTCAGGAGTGATCTACAGGCAATGTCTGTTGCACCAGAGATGTGAGCCAAAGCCGCCGCAAGAACCAACTCAGCTTCTCTCTCCTCCAGCAGAGCCTTTGCAGCCGGTCTGAAGTGGTCTACAACATCTTCAGATATCTCATCTAAAAATCTGAAGTGCAAACAAGATCACAAATTATTGGTGATCCGCTTCTCGAGCGGATCGCCTCTTGTTATTGTCAGAGATCTTTTTTTTATTCTACCTTTTCTTCCATTTCTGTTCGCACGATATCTCAAAATTGCCACGAGCCATGCACAATCGTACTTCAACAAACATTTGGCTTGGTCTGGAATAGTCACGGTAAGCTTTTCAACGTGCTCAGTCATGCGTGACGTCATCTACGCGCAATTTTGCGATTTTACATTATCGATCATATCAGCCTAACAAATTGCCATTTCGAAATCGTATTAAGTGAGCATAAACTTTAGGTCAATGACGAATGTAATGTTCCCTAATTGTACGCGTGCGCTTCATAACGTGCGCGTATGTTTGCGTTAAAAAATTTTAAAATGCTCGAAATCACTTTTTGACTAAATTAGAGCATGTTACAGGTCATTTTGAGCATTTCAAAATTTTTTTTTATTTTCCACTACGCACATGCATTTTTACGCGCGCAGCACGTACGGAAGCTTGACATTACATTTTTTCACATAGTTTGGGTTCCTGACATTGACATCTTATGGCCAATAGCAATGCCGTACGCACGCATCAAACATAGTGATCTTTGCACGCGTTATACAGTGAAATTATGCTAAAATCAGGCCTATTTTTAAACAGTTATAGCTCCTTAGGATGAAAGGTGACCCCCATTTTTATTACATATTCTGAAAGCGCACAAGTTGTAAATACGATTTTATAGATCATAATGGCTGATCGGACATGGTGGTGTCATCATATTGCCATCTGAATTCAAAGAAATTGTATATTAGCTATGACGTCATTTTAAAAAATATTCATTTGAGCGTATCTCGCTTATCCTTGATCGATCGTCTTCCAACTTTGAGTATGTTATAGCTGAGACAATTCTCTTTTATATATATGACTTCTTTTAATTTTGATGTCATCATGGTAAAAAAAAATGTTTTTCTGCCCCCCACAACTTTCTTTCCTCAAAACTTTGATGAGCCCATATCATCTTAACCATTCGTCATTTCTGAATCATATTAAGTGAGCATAATCTTCAGGGTCAATTTCTTGTGCCATTACCGTCCACGAGCACGTCGTGTCGTGTGTGTACGGTAAAATTTGGGAATTCTCAATAACAATTTTCAGATAATTTAAATCACATTTCAGGTCATTTTCAGCATCCAAAACTTTCCATAATTTACGCACCGTACGCTCATTTCCACATGAACTGCACGTACTGAGATTTATTGGGAATTACGTTTTGTTACATGTTTTGGGTTCCTGGCACTGTATTCATAAACAGGGGCCACATTTTTCAATCTAGAATTCAGCTTAAATTCGTCTTAAGTACATTTTTTTACTTAAGTCAAATTTATCAATATTGCTTTAATAGCTAAAAAATTTCTAAAAATTAGAAAGATTGTATGTGGGCACCATCTAAGATGATTTTTAAGCCAAGATTTTGCTAAGATTGGGTAATAAATCAGCTTAAAATATTTATTAGGGACATCTTAATTTTTTTGACTTAAGACATTTGCTAAGCTGAGATTGGTAAATCCCGGGCCACGAGTAAACTTTTTGTGCCATTAACATGTGCACAGGCGTCAAGACATCCGCGTATGCACGCATAAATCTTTTCAAATGTTTAATATTACACTTTTTAAAAATCTAACTAGAACATATTTTAGGCCATTTTGAGCATTTAAAAACATTTCAACCCGCACCGCTCGCGCTTCCTGAGGATCGAAGTGCGGCGGATCACCAGACTCGTCCTCAGTGACGAGTTAAAATCTAGTTGTATACAGGATAATTCACATTATGACATTCACTACAGACACATTTGAGAATGTTGTGATGTTCGAGGATGGTGTCAAGCTATGGGAATAGCTTTGTACCGAAGGCCATCACTGGGTTTATGTTCCTCCATTATAATAACACAACTAAAAGCCATGAGAAATAGCTAATGTTGCCAAGAACTGGAGGTTGCAAAGTGTAACTTACTTAACTGTCATAATTTTAACTATCTCTTTTGTAATGCAAATTTGTACTCTTGGCTATTCTACTGTGATCCATATTTTAAACATATTTTTTGTTTGTGAAATTTGCATAAATAAATTATTTATTATTGCTGGGCTTATAAGCTTAGTTGTAATGGCAGTGCAGGAAACCTATTTCAAAAGAACTGATAGTAAATAATAAATTAGCGCAAGGGTTGAAGAAAGCGTTTGGTGCAGCAGTTGAGTATCGGACTCTCAACCTCGCAGTCAGAAGTTCAAAACCCTTATAATGGATGTTGCTTGTGTCCTTTGGCAAGACACTTTATCTGTGTTTGTCTCTCTCTCTACCCATGAGTATCAATGGGTACTGGCACATGCTGGGAAGGTAAACAGACTCGCTGAGAAGAGGGTGGCAATCCCCTCAAAGCGTTGCACAGTCTAACCCCAACGCCTAAGAAAGAGGGATGGGCATTCCGACTGGTCTTCCTTTACATATATACCTTTACTTGAGGAAAATTTTACTGCTATCATTTCAACCAAATAGTATGGTATATAAATGTAGGTAGGGTTACATTTTGCCAGAGAAAGCACAGATCTAAATCAGACTAGAGATTACATCAATGATAGCAAAATAGGATATTCTGTAAAGTTAATTTTTTATCGCAGAATATACTAAAATTGTTTAAATCGCTTTAATCTTCTAATTTACAACTTACTTTGTCACGTCACTTGCTGAAGACTTGATAATATCTTTCGGTTGAGGTGCACCAATACGCTTGAACTTTATTCCCTAAAAATCAATTCATCTCAAAATTTTGATTAAAAATTACAAACATTTCACAAGTTATAAAGATCAATAAATATTTCAATACACTGATAATAAATATTTAAAATATAAGTTCTTTACTAATATTTACTTCTACAACTTGATCCCAATGATGGTATTTTATTTCAGTTCTGTATACTTACAGTATGTATGAACTTAGAAGTTAAAGTCATGTGGAATATATGGGCTATAAATAAGCATCAACAATAAACAAAACTTACAGCTTTTTGTTCAACTTTTGCCAGCTCCCATTCTTCATTTGGTTTATAGAAACATACACAAATACCCTTTTTCTTTGCGCGACCAGTACGACCAGACCTATGTATATAGTCTTCTACATCCTATAAAACAAATAACTGCATCATAATTTGTAAATTTATATAAAAAGGGAAATATATAACAGGACTATATCAACATATAGTACAAGATATTCAACACTGCATGGATATGATTATGACATTGGGAATGATGTGGTATTACTGTCATATGATGCAACAAAGGTCACCACTATTATATTTTAATGTTCCTCCTTATTTTTATAGCCCAGATTTTAGAGTAGAGATGTGGTTTGGTGATTAAATGCCCACCTTCAAATTATACGGTATTGGATTCAATCCTGTAAAATATGTTATAATTTATCTCGACCAACAACCTAAAGGCGATAACATTTTGAATGTTTAGGGTCAAAGTCGAGGTCACAATAGACAATAAACTATTTTATATACATAATAAGTAATATAATTATGTGAAAACAGTTTGGTGTAGTGGTTCGAAGAGTGTTTTCCACACTACCGGCCACGAGTTTAAATCACATGACATCCCACACCTAGAAATATCAAAATGCATTTTTTTTTATTGGAAATTGTCCGTATTCCATGATGTATATTTGTTTGTTTTTTTTCATTACCTTTTTTTTCATTGTCCGTACTACTACACACAACATCTTATTCCTGGTCAAGCCGGTTAGGCATCAGCAGTGCACTGGATACATTTTTTAATTGGGACAAAATGCGTGGGAATTTATTCAGTAGAGACTTATGATGTGGGTGGAGGTATGCATTCTCAAAGTGCCCTCTAGTTAAGAATGTTGTTAGTTGTCCTTTTGTGTGTTTATATAATTTATATATTTTGTTCAGAGGGTCTTCAGAGACACTAGTCTCGCTGGTCTCTTTGTTGATTCTTGACCATGTAGTAAATGTTTGCTTTTTGGTATGTATTTTGTATTATTGTTATTTTCATCAATTATGGTCAATATATCTTAAAATTGAATAGAATACTCATATAGTCAGTCTTGTACATTAGCAAATGATTTCACTGTCTTGGTCAAAGTGATAAATATATTATAGTATTTACAAACCAGATGAGAAGCTCAAGGTAGCAATACATGATTCAGTAAGAATTGAGTGTCAAAAGGCATAAAAAGCTGTGCTTTGATAATGTTCATTGTTTTGTGCGTGTGTGTGTGTGTGTATTGAAGGCAGTGTGTATAAACTTGATAGCAGTTATTGTACAAAAATTAACTCAAATGTGCTTTAATGAACTGATTGATACAGTTGTTTACTTAGACATGTGACACTAACCTTTGGTGGATTACACTGTATCACAAGCTCAACTTCTGGAATATCAAGCCCTCTAGCTGCAACGTCTGTCGTCACCAAACACTTCACTTTACCTTCACGAAAACACTACAAAATGAACAAGTTGCATTCACATAACATGAAATTATCATTTAGAATCATAACATATCTAAAGAAACCATTTAAGGGGATCTACGAATGACCTTAAGTGCCTACAGATATAGATAAACCTTGGTTCACGAACATTAATTATGAGAGTTACTAAGAATTGTCTTACCCTGAGTGTGATCTCTCGCTGTTGTTGAGCTATGTCTCCATGTAACACCTGGGCTTCCTGCTTGATAACAGAATTGAAGGCCAGTTCATTTGCTTCTTTCTTGGTTTGGCAGAACACCATTGATCGTCCATGATGGCCACTGTATACCTTGATGACATCACTAATGGTTGCTGCCCTGTCTTTCCATCCACATTTAATGGCCATATGCTGCAAGTTGTCAAGACACTCAAAATCAATGCAATATTTACATAAACTATTCTACCAAATCAGAATGATTTTTAGGGTTAAAATTGATTGGTGGGGGTGCAAGTCAAGTGGCTGGGCAGTAAGGCAGGGGTTGCGCTAACTACAACCTTAACATCAGAACTGGTTCCAAGCCACTCCTTGCCCAGGGTACGTTTGGTAGAACAAAGTCTTCTGGGATAAGGGAGATCTAGGTTACACATCTGGCATGTGTGCACCTTAAAGAACAGATTGCATTTTTCAGAAGAGTAGGGGGTTGCCCTGATGCTATGGTTTACTTCAGCCCCTTCCATCGTGGTATGACGCGAACTAAGCACCTCTCTACAGTTGCTACAGCAGTCACAGACCACGCCCATATGCAATTCAGCACAATGACACTGCAAGTTAAGGGTTATTCTCCCACCTTAATACCTTACTTTACCTAATATATTTTGACATTGAAACTTACTTGGACTGTTGTTGCTGTTCGACGAGTGTCCCCTCCAATCAGATCAAATTGTTTTGTATTGGATTTCATGTACTTCTTTGCTGTATCATGGACCCATTTGGGAAGGGTAGCTGAGAACAACAGGGTCTGGGGACTACGCATCTCATCACCTGAATCTAAAATTAAAAGCATAATATACAACAATATAAATCATAGATTAGAAAGTGCGAGAAAACCATGGACGAAAAGCCCAACACAAAAAATGGGTACCTCTTCAGAAAAAAAAAAATGCAGTTAAGTACATAAAACCATTATAATATACATTAAATCCAACAGGCTTCAACTACAGTTCATAACTACATCCAAACAACACTTTAAAATACAGTTTCGAAATTTAACAATAATTTTGTAACTTTTCTTTCAAAAAATAAATGCACAGGTGCATTTATCAGAAATATTTCCACAGAATAAATAAATGTAATGATTAAAACCAACTACTATTCACCAAGTTTATATGCAGACATTAGAATCTCCTCTACTGGATCTGCAAATCCCATGTCCAACATCCGATCCACTTCATCCAGCACAACATGGTCCACTTGACTCAAGTTCAACGTCTTACGCCTAACGTAATCTAAAACTCTGCCTGGTGTACCGACAAGAACATCAATACCGTGGCGTATTGCGGTCTCCTGTGGCCAGTAAGCAGTTCCACCGTATATGCAAGTTACAGTCAAGGAGTTGTTGATTGCCTCAAAATCTTCAGAGACCTGAATATAGAGAAATTTTTCAGTACTAAAATTTAAAATTTAAAAAAATTTCCATTGACAAAAGCCTGCTATACTGTACTGTAAAGTGCTATATTTCTCTATTTTACACTTTCATAGGATATCTAAAGCCAATCATTTTCAATATCAGGGAGATCTATGACAAACATTTGATTTAATATAGAATGCACTAAAATAATTTATATTCAATCATTTAAAGCATACAATTAGCCAAAGATATTTGCTCATACTTTTAATATTTATTTTAACAATGTAAATCAATGAAACAAAATTATTTGGATTATTAGTCTTGTTCGCATTGGATTAATATTAACCAAGAATGTATTCAACTTTACTTGGGTAAATTATACTGGTGTTCACACTAGTATTTCTAATGCCGTAGGATATAACAAAACAATCACTAATTAACAAATAGATAAGAGTTTACATGTACATGGCCAGTTTATGCTGCATTCACATTGGATCTGAACTGAAATTCAGACCGCATTTCCGATGCCAGCACCCCTATACTTATACAGATCTGATTTTCTGATCTTTTTGTTTGGCTTTCCAGTCCAAAATATTCAGATTCAGTGTGTATGTAGCTTTAATCATACATATATTGAGTGTAAAGTTCAGCAATGTAGAGTCACATGCAGTCAGCAAATTTAACCGATTCCTGCTTTGTGCATTGGCCTTTTCTGTTGTTCACATTGTCAAATTTTCTTTGAATGCCCATATATAGTCATGATGTGCCTACAGTAGGTCATGATGTGATGTCATTATGACTAAATTTGGTCATATGTTTTTGTCAAATAAAATCTGGTAGTCTGGTGAGGGCACAATAACAATTCAACTACATTGTTGTGATGTTCGAGGATGGTGTCAAGTTACGGGGATAGCTTGGTACCGAAGGCCATCACTGGTTTTATGTTCCTCCATTATAATAACACAACTAAAAGCCATGAGAAATAGCCAATGTTGCCAAGAACTGGAGGATGAATTTCAAATACAGAAATAAGGTATTTATATACCATTGTCTCTCTGAATAGTTCTCACATAATGTAGAAAATATTTTATTTTAATTTATTACAAAGAGTATTTATACAGACCTGCTTGGCAAGCTCCCTAGTTGGAGCAAGGACCAACACCTTGGGAGGTCTTCCACTCTTCTTTGGAATATCTTTCAGCTTTTCAATGAGAGGAATTGCAAATGAAAATGTCTTTCCTGTTCCAGTACCTTCAATTATTGAAATAAAAAATAAAAAAATAAATAAACTATGTTAAAATGATTATTATAAATTAACAGCACACTCTGTATCTTGAATACTTTAAGTATGTAAGTTGCCATCTTTAGAAAATGGAACTTGAATAAAGTGATTAGACTTTGTTGTGATGTTCGAGGATGGTGTCAAGCTACGGGGATAGCTTAGTACCGAAGGCCATCACTGGGTTTATGTTCCTCCATTATAACAACACAACAAAAAGCCATGAGAAATAGCTAATGATGCCAAGAACTGGAGGATATAATAATCATGTGACACAACCAATCAACTTACGAGCTTGAGCGATGACATCATAACCGCTGTAGACATCACTGAATGTTTTGGCTTGGATAGGAAATAAGTATTTGACCCCACGTTCTAAAATAATAATCAAATTATAAAATGATCAACAAACAGAACATATACAGATCTCCCTCCAACGTAGGACCCCTCCAATTAAAGACCACCTCCAATTACACTATTCTGTGGTCCCAAATTAACAAATGTTTTTTCTTTATTATTCTAATTAGAGACTAAAGCTGCTAAACACCATGGAAACCCCGGTCCCAAAAGTGGTCTTTAATTGGGAGACCTGTATTTCATGTAATTTACAGATATTTATATAATGTAATGCATTTTCCATAGGTAAGTATTGTTCCTGGTTATTGATGTATTCTTCCTGTTTATTGAATGCAGACTAAATCATGGACAATGAAGCACTACATCTATTTCTGTTAAAATCTTAACATGATTTCATTAAAAAACAATCAAATCCAACCAGGTAGCCATTTATAAAAATGGTTATTATAGGAACATAAAGAAAAAAAATCTGTGGACATCAACGGCAACCAGATTCTTACTCACGATAAAGTCCAACAGACACTGCATTGGAACGGACTGACATTGTTTAGAAGTAAACATTTGTATGGAGTTTGGAAGAATTAGTTGGCTGTCAATCAACTATTTGCAGATGCATTTGAGAAGTCAAACTTATCACAGGCCATTTTTTTAAAACATCATATGATAAAACGCAACCACTTACTTAGCAGTAATTCTTTTGTTCTTGAGGAAATAGGAAAGTTTTCCAAATCTCCAAGACGCATCTCTTCCAGAAGTTCCTATAAAATATGAAAGTGGGAACAAAATTATGACTATATTTTTATAATAAAAAAATTTGGATCAACAGCCTCAAGTGATTTGATTAAACTTCCTTGTTATTGATGAATAATCATGGTGTGCAAAAACATGTAATTAAATCCAAATAATTTGGCAACATACAAGCTGACCTTGTAAGACTATTTCTTTTTATACTTTGTACTATAGCTTATTAAGTTACCAATTCTTTACACTGGTTGAGTCGATAGCCATAAGGCAAGGGTACTGCAATCTACAGCCATAATGTTGGAGATGGTTCAAGCAGCATGTTCAGCTATGGTTTTGGTGGTGAAAAAACTCTCCTTGGATAAGGACTATAAACTGTAGACTCAGTGTATATAATTGGATTATGTGCACATTAAAGAACCAGTACATCTTTCAAGATGAGTTGCCCCAGTGTCCTGGTTCATACAGCCACTGCTGTGGACAGATGAGAGTGGCTAGTACTGGCTTATCGGGTAGTTCAGACACGAAGTGACCCTTAAGGAAGTTTCTGTACGAGCTACTATATGACTTTGGTATAAAGCACTATATAAATCAGACTACATTATATTACAAATCCAAATGTAACAAAAACTGAATATAAACAATATTTACCAAATCAATATCGCCATTGGTTTCTTCAACATCTTTAGGTTTTTTAACTTTCTTCTTTTTCTTTGTTGCTATTTTTGTTTCTTCTTGTGATTCACTGTCACTCGCTTCATGTTTTCTCTTTTTAGATTTTTTTTCTTTCTTGGATTTCTTTTCTTTTTTTACATCTGCTGCTATATTTGCCTCCGATACATCCTCAACATCACTTGCCTGAAAGAACACAAATTTAAAAAATCTACAGTTATGGTATTAGATTCCTTCCTATACTACCAAATACTTTGATTTCTTTGATTAATTTGATACTACTCTGACCTGGGAGGGGGGATCTGGTATCCTGTGTGCAGGGCTGGAAAAAATACACAACTGCACGACCAGCAGTCAGAGGCAACATGAATGTCCCAGAGGCATTTTGGTGGAAACAATTAAGAAAAATAAACTGTTAGCCTATATACTGTAGTCTGTATAATGTACACGTAATATTTGGTGCTGAGGGCACCATCAAGGCACAAATTAATTTTTTTTTCCAGGTCTGACTGTGTGTACTGTAAATAAGTGATTTGAGTGTACAAGCAATTGAGATACGAGTCAACTCATTCCTTGGAAATCAGCTGAGAAAAAACAATCAGAGTACATCAACCAGCACTCAATTTATTTTTTTTATTTTTATTTATTGGACTCCAGTAGGTTCCTGGGTACTGCAGTTCAGCGCCACCACATCTAATGACAGATACAAACATAGTCCTTAGCTCGCCAAACTCTCAAAATATTCAAGGAGCTATGCAGTCAGTTCAATTAAAACACGACGCTGGCTAGGTTTGAAACAGGCTCCACAGCACCAAGTAGGAACAATACCTCTCGGCCCACCACTCAGCTGATATGATGGTATCGTCACTTTTGAATTTGAGGTAAACTTGGAAACTGTTCCTGATTGATACATGAATCTATATTTTCAGTGCGTATTAAGACCCATTAACATACATTCTTCGTACATACTGTACAGTAATAGTACAGCACGAATACAAGTTTGTGGGGTTAAATAACTGTTCCCCGTACATTTCTGCCTTGTTGCACATTTCAATGCCAATCAATGATCTTTCTAAATTGAATAAAGTATGATATTTTCTGTATATAATATTTAGTTAAGTTTACACAAGTCTCATTTAGGTATGCTACTGTAGAATTGCTATTGAGATTAAATAAAGATTACCTATTAATTGCTTTTAAGATGGTTGTTGACAAAAAGTAGATTGACAATTATTACCTTGTTTACAGGTATCTCCAAAAATTTGAAAATCTTGTGTTGTAATTATGTATATTATTACCCTCAAAATCCCTTCTTTTAATTATTCTGGACATGCATCATTCAAAATTCTAAACATATGATTTAACTTAATTTGTGCTACGCAGAGATCAACCGGTATCCAGTTCAGTATCTGGAATTCCTTTGACCCAACATGTGACATAGGCTTCAAACTCAGAACGCATCGCATGAGCTTATTCGGAGCGGTCTTGACATTTATTTTTCACGACCTGTTTTAAACCAGAATACCATATAATACTACTGTAGTCATAATGACTAAGAATAATTGTTGAGACGAGGAGCTTCAAGATACTGAAACTTAAGTACTTCTTGTTTCTATAAAGAAATTGTACTCTACCATTATGCACTTGTCAATTGTAGTCCCCCCGACCCTGGCTATAGCAGGAACTAGCCGAGACTGAGCCGGGGATGTACACATAGCTGTATCCCCGTAGTGCCGGGCCATACCTAAACTTTACCCGTAGGTGTAACAGGCCTCGGAAGGGCTGGGAATTTTACATATTAGAGTAGCCGTGGTCTCGGGTGTATAGGCCTAGTGCTGTCAAACCGGGTCTGGTCGTACCTAGCCTACACTAGGCCTAGGCATTCAGTCAGCACTCTGTTTTGGTAATTAAAAAATCACCTTTAAGCCTACCATCATAGTTTCATTTTTTATAGATCACGATATAAATTACATAATAAAAATTGAACCTCCAACCACACAACGCTGAGGACCGAGGTGGCGGCGTGTGTTAGTGTATAATAAAAATTTGCGAACCATAAATTTGACCTATTTTGCCTCAAAAATACGCCAGTACAGGAGCCAAGGCAAAAAAATCTGTTTCTACTAGATGTATTCATTTTCTTATTTAGGCCTAATTTCTGTTTTGATATTGAATCAATCAATCAATTATTTTCTTTTTCTACCATAGCATAATGGTAATATACGAGAGGGAACATTTCTCACTGAGCTCACTGTCAGTGTTACTAAGTAACGAGACAAAAATAAAAAAAAAACGTATAGAAAACCAATTGACGAACAACCAATTGACGAATAATATTGGCATATATTTCATAAATTAATTGAGTAATCTACAGTACCATCCAGATATTATCTACCCTTGCCTGCATTATTTCCGCGGAAAATAATCGTGGAAAATTCGAGCGCCCGTATTCAGCGAGTGGTCCATTACGTAATTGTTTAGCATCTACTTCCTGTTAAAAGTCGGAACTCGCGGTATAAGTGCGGTCCACGTTGGACAGCGAGTCAAAAAATTCGATGGTAAAATATTACGTAATTCGCGGCACGCCCGATCTCTCTATTGTCAGGCGAACAATGAGCGAGTTAGTTTTGAGATGTAAAGTTATTTCGCTAATAGTCGGTAGTGCAGATTATAAAATTTAAAGAATACTGTGATATACATTTTTTTTTTTCGGAACTGTAACTTACTTCGGAGGTATAAATAGGCTCGTATAACAACCTAACAATTCCTATCGAAGTATGTTTCAATTTATTTACAGTGTTACTCTTTATTACCTCTGTAGGATCGGAAAACAAAATATACGGTATATAGGCTATTAATGTATCAATAAAATATCTAAGCAAATAATTAAGGTCAGAATAACCGATGTATTTTCTTTATTGAAGGTTCAATTGAACTGGGAACGTCTGCTATCAGCAAGGTCGCTTCAGTAATCAACTGATAAATGAAATGAAGTTTTTAAACTTGTTAAACATACAGTACTGTATTTATTTTGTAGTTTTGAAATAAAAGCTATGACCAGAATATTTTTTAACCGTGTTTGTACTTTTATTACTGATAAATACCATAGGCCTTCATAAAAACAAGAAATATGTGAATGGCCTGTACTTACTGTAGTACATTTACTCAGTTGTGCTTAAAAATTCGTATCGAAATACGGTCTTAATTTTATTTATATAGTTATAGTCTCGCTATGTATTATGATTCATTCATTGTGTTGTGTAAATATATTTACTATCATTTAATTGCATATTTTCACAGGAAACAATGCAATGGTTAGCTTGGCCTGAGTAAGTTGTAACAGGCAACAGTGAAGTTGGTATAAAGAGTAGGCCTACGTTTTAACGATAAAGTACGGTTAGGTAGGCAAGTAGGCTAAAAATAGATGAATTGCCTAGACTATTGTTCCAAACATTACAGGCCTAGATATAGGCCATGCATAAAAACAATAAAGAAATACTTTAAGGAAAAGGAATAGTTAATTCATAAGCTATCTCTCTGTAACAGGTAAAAGCCTAATATCAAGTTACTAGTACTGAAGGTTGCCTAGTAACGGTGAATTCAGTGAGAAACGTTCCTGTAAGTAGGTTCCCACGATACTACAGTATTCAGAAGGAGAAGCAAACACGAGGTTAATCACCACTTATTCTCTTTGAACGCCGCCAACTCAGGGTATGTAGACACACGTTGCTGCTATGCAGTACAGCATGGATATCTCCATGAGTACAGTAACGCGGCAAGATAAAGACAGAATAGCTGCCTGCTTGTTTAGGGAAGATTTGTTTTCTACTGAATTTTTGGGAGATAAGTAAATTTCCGGGAGATTTTTGCTTGCTTGCGGGAGACCATAACAATTTCCGGGAGACTCCAGGGAGATCCGGGAGACTTGGGACCACTGGAAAATTATTATATTGAATTTACTTTACAAAATTCATTCCCCCATAAATTTTTTGTAGAGTCCTCGGTTAATTGAATGCGCTTCACAGCAAAACATGTGCTTTTGATCGGCTACCTTCCAGACAGACGGTTGAAAGTAAGCGACATGCCTACACTCCGGGATACATAATAACTTTAGAATACAAAATCTGGCTAAATAAAAACAATAATAAACATAATATAAATATGGTGATGCTAACAAATAACAAAATGTTCAATCATTATTAATTAACCATTTAATACTAAACATAAACTTTATTTTCATAACAGTGTATATCTTTTTAAAATCGTAATTTAAGCCTTAATCATGTCATTTTATTCCACAATTTGATTGTCTCACAATAAGATAGTCGGCAGTGTCATCATCTCAAAGATTATAAATAAATATATATATATTATAAAATTGGAAACTGATGATGTGTGTTTCATACTACCTGTCAATAAATATTAAAGAATTACGATTTTTAGCATCTTCAGACGAATCAATAATCAAAATTCGTACAAACTTGGCTTCGCTTCCAACACGACGATTACAGCGGGCACATTGTATACGCGTTCCTTAAGAAGGAATCTTTCTTTTCTCACGCTCTTAAACTCTTAATACTGTTCATTAAGAAGGAATCTTTATTCTCTCACACTCTTAAACTCTAACTACGATATGACCAATAATACACAACAGTCGATTTTGTTAAGAATTCCAGTGAATAAAAAAAAAAACTGTTCGTCATTAATTATGTTGTTAAACAGACGACATCGTGAATCGTTGCCTTTATCAACAACTATTATTATTGTATCATAACAAAATAACACACAGGACACAAGTTACAGCATTTTATTTGGTTTCAAACTCATAATATTCACAACCATTAATTGATCGACTAATAAAAGAGATACTTGATCTTCTTGAATTTCTACAATGACGTAGGCCTACAATTTATATTTCTGTACATATATATTTAATCTTCATATAAACCGGAAAATTTTTAGTACAGTTAACAAAATAATTCAGATGCCTGTGGATATACCAGCATATCCATGAAAGTATCAAGTTTAATATTCCCAGTTGCATTATTCCGAAATAACGACAGGCTCTGTCTTTTGTCTGGCTGATAAACAACACAGACCAATTTGTTGAACGTAAAAATCATTAGGCAGTTCGTTGAAGCCATGAATTACGTATGGGTGGTCCTTATACTAACTAATTAACTGCG